GGCCAGAGCCTCTTGGCCTGGGCCGGCTGGGCGGCCACCGGAGGGAGCCGCTCGGCCAGGGGAGCCGGACTGGCCGCGCCTCCTCGCTCGCGCGCCCCAGCCCCAGCTTACCTGCTGCCTGCCTGCTTCAGGCTTCCCGCGAATCAAATGTTCGTGGGAAGCAGCGGAGTTGGGGCGGGGCCGGGAAGGGGCGGGGCCGGGGGCGGAGTTGGGGTGGGGCCGGGCCCCGTGGAGTGTCCTCTTTTTGGACACTTAAAATATGGTAACCCTACTGTCTGTCTTTGTCTCCTCCATTCTGCTTCCCTGCAACAACTGCTGCCGCAGGGTCCTAGTGCCCCCCTATCCACTGCCAGGGCAGACTGACTCTGAGCCTGACCTTCCCCCTCAAACCCTTTCATTTTCCAATGGGACCCTCCAGCAGCCTGCCCTCGACCGAACGCATCCTCAGCACGGCGGTGCCGATGTAACCATAGGAAACCAGGATGAAGCCCAGCGGCAGCAGCAGTAAAAACACAGCGCTGGCGAGGAGCTCAGCCATGTTGGTGGAGGTGTCGGCGCAGGCCAGCTTGAGCAGGGCCGGCACCTCGCAGAAGAAGTGGTTGATTCGATTCCTCCCACACCGGGGCAGCCGCAGAGTCAGCACCGTCTTCACCAGTGCGTTGCCAGAGCCGCTCAGCCAGGCGGTAACCATCATCTGCAGGCAGAGGCAGCGGCTCATGATGGCCGTGTAGCGCAGCGGCTGGCAGATGGCGACGTAGCGGTCGTAGGCCATGATGGCCAGCAGGAGGCACTCGGTGGAGCCCAGCGAGAGGGAGATGTAGAGCTGGGCCACGCAGCCGGCCCAAGCGATGGACTTGAGGCGCTAAATGTCGATTTCACCGTGCACACACACAGCCTCACAAAACACATTTCCACATCAGTAGTAATCAACATTAACAGACAGGCAACCCAAGAGAAAGGCTGCTTGAGAATTTTTTCCAGTTTGATATATGGATATTTCCATTGTATATTTAGACATGTGATGGGGACAATGTGTGTTAACGCTGATAAAGCTTTAACTTTTTTGAATCTCAACGCCTATTAACTCATGAAATAATTATTGTCTAACCCCCTTGTTGCTGATCCTGCTTAATTCCCACAACTGCAATGATGTAAATCGATAACATTAAAAAATGCTTAAAAATAAACATCGAAATTATCAAAACATAAAGTTTGAATTTGGCCAAACCTGGTGATACACCTGTTAAACTGAAGCGATATTGACAATCTCCCCAGCTGCCCCTTTATGGCTCCGCGAGGGCCTCGTGTCGCTGTCTCGCTCAGTCTGCCTGCCCATGGATGTTTTATTTTATTTTATGGTCATCATTGTTTGATTGCAGTCATTATTTTATTATCATTCAATGCCTTATAATTAACTAAATACAAACAAAATATTTTTTTTTGCCTAGAGCCAGAGATCAACCCTGACTCCCAGTCTCCTCTCTGCCCTGCCCCACTAGACCCATTCCCTTCCAGAGCTGAGAACAGAAGCCAGGCGTCCAGACTCCCACTGGCTTCAAATTCCCTTCTTCTACAAAGTTACACATCAGCCGAACATCCTTTGCGAAGCTCTTTCTTGGGCAGGGACCTTATTTTCTCCGGAGCTGCTGTTTAAAGATTATTCAGGCAAATATTAAGAGTCTTTACAACAAGAAAGAGGCACAAATTCCCATGCTCTAAGATCCTGCTCTGCAAGCCTCAGAGATTAGTGGCCAGGGCCGTCGTTAGGGGTACGCAGCATACGCGGCAGCGTAGGGCACCCGAAAATTTGGGGCACAACCGGGACAGCAGGGAAGAGTGGGTTGGCTCCTGCACATTCAGCGCGTTCTGCAGTCTCCTTAGGCAGGGGCCGTATTCACAGAGCCCAATGCGCCGGCGTGGCGCATTCTACGTGATGGAGAGGGTAGGGGGGACTGGGTGCGTAACTGTGACTCTCAGCTTTCCTGTCTCATCCCTCCCCCCCCGGGGTTGTGAGCCAGGACTGCCGCAGTGTCTGTTGCATACGAAGCTCAGTGTGTGTCAGCAATGGGGCGGGGGCGTTCTTCTGGGGGTCCACGGGCAGGGGTGTTGTCTGTGTACCCAGTCAGGCATAGAGTCACCAGTTTAATAGTACTGTGTAGGGCCCCATAAATCCTAAGGACGGCTCTGTTAGTGGCCATCCCTGGCACAGAGCTGGTCTCTGTAGACTCTTCCTACATCGATAGAAGGGGTTTTTTCATTGATGTCATTAATTCACCTTTCTGAGAGGCGGTCGCTAGGTTGACAGAAGAATTCTTCCTTCGACCTAGCCATGTCTACACTGGGGGTTAGCTTGAGCTAAGTACAGTGCTCAAGGCAAAAACATTTTCACATCCCTGAGCAATGTAGCTAGGTCAATCTAATTTTTAGTACGTAAGAACATAACAACGCCCATACTGGGTCAGACCAATGGTCCACCTAGCCCAGGATCTTGTCTTCTATCAGTGACCAATGCCAGGTGCTTCAGAGGGAATGAACAGAACAGGGCAATCATCAAGTGATCCATTCCCTATTGTCCATTCCCAGTTTCTGGCAATCAAAGGCTAGGGACACTCAAAGCATGGTTGGGGTTGCATCCCTGGCCATCTTGGCTAATAGCGATTGATGGACCTATCCTCCATGATAGACCAGGCCTTAATCTCATCTCTTCCCTGGTCTCTGTCTTGCTGAATAAGGACACAGCTCTTTAATATCTGAATATAGAATTGCGCAAGTCACTCAAATCAGCAAACACACTGGTTTTGATTTACACAAGAGAAAACAATTTGATTCTCCTACAGGAGGGGAAAGTTGTTCATTGGGATGTTTAACCTCCTTCCCCCAGTCATTCACCCCATGGGGTAATGATTTGGTCTAATCACTTCTTCCCAAGACCAGGAGAATTTCTTGCAGCATAAAATGGAGGGGGGAATGCCCAAAACTGCAGCCATTTCATATGAACCTTGAACAGCTGAGAGAAAAGGGATAACATTTGAGAAGGTGCGAGATCTCTGCTTGAGAATGAATGAATAAAGGGGTCAAATCTGAGGAGAAATTTCATCAGAGGGGAGTTAACATCCTCCTTTTCTTCATCCACTATGTGGGACAAGAACTCAAGCCAGCTGGTTCCCTCCAAAAGCAGATGTGGCTGCAATTTAAAATGGGAGGAGGGAAAAAGACCCCAAAGTGAGAGAGGTTTTTTTCCCCATATTCAGCAATTAAAGAAGAAAATGGTCAAATCTGGGGGGATTTTAGATCAATATTCCATAATTTAGCGGGAAAGGTGCCCGACTTGAGGAGTCCCAAAATGGAGGGACATTTCTATCGATAGTCAATAAAGAGAAAATCTCAGGGGATTTTAGATCAATATTTGGTAATTAGAGAAAAAAAGGCAAAATCTGAGGAGATTTTAGATCAATATTTGGTCATTAGAGAGAAAAGAGGCAAAATCTGAGGGGAAAGTTGATTCTAATGAGTTTAACCCCTTCATTGATCCCATTCACAATTTGGAGCAATGATCGGTGCCAGCTGTTTCCCTCCAAATGCCGAAGTAGCTGCAGTTTAACTTGAGAAGGGGGAAGAAGCTCCCAGACGATCCATACCAGAGAATTAAATAGAAAAGGGGTAACATTGGTGGGGGGGGGTTAGATCAATATTCAATAAGAGAGAATCTGAGGTATTTTATATTGGGGGGGGCAGGGATGTGGTCTGTGCTGGCTGGATCTGGTGCAGAGAGATGACTCTCAAATGCCCACGTCGCTCCCACTCTTCCATTCAGAGCCAGGTGCCCAACGCTGCCCACCAGGCCTTTACATGCTCTTCTGCCTTCTGGGGCTCATGGTGAGTGACCTCTGGTTTCCCAGCCCCAGCTCCATGTGCAGACATGAACAGAGACCTTCAAATGCAGACCTCCTAGATGGGAAAGTCTCCATCGTCCATTGCCTGGCCCCCTGAGCCAGCCAGTCCCCCTGGCCTGAGGCTGGATCGGAGCTGCTGCCCCATAGAGAACCAAGTCAGCCAGTCCCGACTCATTTCTCTGGCTCATGTCCTCTTACTCCCGAATAGCCTCCCCAGCACCCTCCTTAGGGCCCCGTGCACATCCTTGTTCCTCAGCGTGTAGATCAGTGAGTTCAGCATGGGGGCGATGATGCCATAGAAGAGGGAGACCATCTTGCCCCGGTCCTGGGAGTAGCTGGATGGAGGCTGTAGATACATGAAAATGGCCGTGCCATAGAAGAGCGACACCACGGCCAGGTGGGAGGCGCAGGTGTTGAAGGCCTTGAGCCTGCCCTGGGCTGAGCGAATCCTCAGCACGGCGGCGACAATGTAGCCATAGGAGACCAGGATGAGGCCCAGCGGCACCAGCAGGAAGATCGCACTGACAGCAAAAAGCTCAGCCTCGATAGTGGAGGTGTCAACACAGGCCAGTTTGAGCAGGGTCGGCACCTCGCAGAAGAAGTGGTTGACCCGGTTCTGTCCACACCGGGGCAGCCGCATGGTCAGGACGGTCTGCAGCATGGAGTTGCTGAAGCCGCTCAACCAGACGGTGGCCGCCATTTGCAGACAGAGGCGGCGGCTCATGACGATTGTGTAGTGCAGTGGCTGGCAGATGGCGACGTAGCGGTCGTAGGCCATGACAGCCAGCAGGAGGCACTCGGTGCAGCCCAGCGAGAGGAAGATGTAGAGCTGGGCCACGCAGCCAGCCCAGGTGATGGACTTGTGGGTGCTGCGGAAGTTCACCAGCATCTGAGGAACGGTGCTGGTGGTGTAGCAAAGGTCCAGGAAAGAGAGGTTGCTGAGGAAGAAATACATAGGGGTGTGGAGGCAGGGGTCCTGCCACAAGACCACAATGATGGCCAGGTTCCCCACCAGGTTCAGGATGTACAAGACCAGAAAAACCACGAAAAGCAGCATCTCCAGGCGTGGTTGGTCAGAGACCCCCAATAGGATGAATTCCCACTGAGAGCTCCCGTTCCCTCTTTCCTCCTGCAGGGAGAAGGGACAAAGATAAGGATGAAAGGAGCCCCAACAGCCATACACCAGGGAGACACATTCAGGGGCAGCCCCATTTGTTCTGAATGAACCACGCCCGCTTGTGACTTTGTCATCGAAAATCTGGGACAGTTGGGTGGCAGGTAGGATCCTTCTGCCAGGAATGGCTTTGTCGCAGAAAAGTGGTTCTGTGGCAGTTAGTGACAAAGGAGGATCCATATAACAGGAAATTAAAGTGTCCTAGAAAACTGGATCTGTAGCAGTTGGTGGGAGCAATAGGATGTGATAGATAAATGGATGCTTAGATTATAAGGTCTTTGGGATGGAGGCTGTTTTGTTTCATTGCTTTTATTCTGTATTTGTACAGATCCTGGTCGCGACTGGGGCTTCTAACTATGATCCCAAATTGCCCCTCTTATGAGTGAAAAAACTGGGCATGTTTAGTCTAGAGGAAAGAAGGTTCGAGGGGGACCTGGTAACAGTCTTCAAATATGTGAAAATTTGTTGTGAAGAGGATGGTGATCAATTGTTCTCCATGTCCATTAGGTCGGAAATATGTTTACAAGTCTGTGTAAATCAGTTTCTTAAACACAAAGGAGTCTAGCCAGGTATCATCAAAGGCGATGGGCAATGACTTATCAAGTGGCCAGTCTTTGGCAAGGAAGCGGGGCAGGGACAACCCAATCTGCATTGAAGCAAACAACAGCATGGCATCTCCTTCACCATTATACTCTTTGTCTCCTCCCTTGCAGCAGGAATGAACTTTAGCTAGGCAGAACCCTCAAGAAAATGCATATCAAAGGGTGACTGGACTATAAAAGTGAGGGGGAGAAAAACCCCAAGAGAACTCTCCCTATCCATCTCTCGCTCTTTTCCCTAAGAAGACAAAAGAAACAACGTTTGGACTTTGGGAGCAGATCCTGGTCTAAGAATTGGCTCAGCAATGTTACTGGGAATATGTGGAAGGGATTTCACCTGGAGCCAAGTCTAGTTTGTTAATTTTAGTACTAGGAAGTGTTTTCCCTTTACTTCTCCTGTAACCATTTCTGACTTGAATGTCTTATACTTGTACTCACATGAAACCTGTCTCTTCGTAGTTAAACAAACATGTTTTAGTCCATAATCCAAACTGCATTTAAACTTAATTGTGAGGGTAACTCCATTTAAAGTAGCAAACTGTTGGATATTGATCTCCTTAGAGAGGCAACGGACCTACAATATCTGAGCTGTCCAGGAAGCGGCCGGCAGTGCAAAACCCAAGTCTTGGGGGGGAATTTGGAACTGGGAGTTTGTTGCTGTAACCCTGCAAGTGGTAACCAAGGCTGCAGGAAGCCAGAGTGTGGCTGGTGTTTGCAGACAGGCTGCTGGGGTCAGAGTTGCTGGACCAGGGCTGTGGCTATACACAGACACTCACGGTGTGACCTGCATGCTGTCAGGCTGCTTGTGAGCGACCCAGGTTGGAAGCTACAACAACAAAAGATTGTGAGGCAGCCAAGGTAGCAGGGCAGGGGTGACCCAACCCCTCATTAGTCTGAACTGCACCCCGGAATGCCATGCC